TTGCATCTCTTTGTGGCTGTGTCAGATCATCCATATGCTAACTGTATCTGCCTACGCAAAGCCTTTGTTCTCATTTTCTCACCACCAATATTGGGGGCATAAACATTGACGTCAATTACTGTCTACCAACTTTGGTTAGCAGCCAGCTCTCACCACAACTGCATATATCACCTTTGAACTGTACTCTTAAATAGAGCTTTTTCTTATTCACTGTGTCACGCTTAATTTCATCAGTTAGTCTTATATACAACACAAATGCGGACATGGGTGACCTTTTCTGGTAATGACAACTGAAAAATGAAACGGGATGAATGCAGTCCTTGAATATTTGTACTTTTAATTGTTTATATTTGGCAAGGTTAGACATTCATAAGTTCCACACCTACGCAGCTGTTTATATTATTTGTTACATTCACAAAAGCCTCATTTTAATGCATATTGTTTTAATAACAGTTGTATTATTACATTGGCGACAACATATTTATTAATTCCTGAAATATTATATGGACTTTGACTATCCAAGGGGAATGTCTTCATGAATAGTAATGCTTTCTTTCAAATAAAAAAGTGAGCGGAAATGCAACGTTTAAATAAAGGATTGTAGGCAGAAAAATAATCCGAAGTGTTACCACGTGCTGATGTGCTCTCCCTGGTTTTCGATGATCTCTAATCGGTGTTGTTTCGTGACAAAATCTACTTACAAAAAGACGCATCATCTATATATATATATATATCCTCTATTATAATAAAGGTTTTTTGTATTTCCCAATGAATGAAAAACAAAACGATATTGTTTTTACTGACGTTTCTCTATTTATGGCTATTTATTAAACCGGAATTTACAAAATCCACTCAGCTTATATATAACAAAGAGTTAAGAGGTAAGAAAATAGACTTAGGTCAAGTTAAAGGGACATATTGAAAGTCAAAATAACAATGAAGATCACTAAACCAAATAACAAAAGTAATAGTACATCTGTTATGATATCAAAACAAGCTTGTTCATCGTCCCTCAGTCTGGGGTCATTTTTCGTTGTCAAGTTGGTCAATTGGTAAAGATAACAAAACCAAGTGTAGATTGTTGGATTTGATCAATGTGTAAAGTTATAAAGGCAGTGTGCGTTTATATAGTGAACTTGCATATCACATTCGTGTTGATTTTGTCACTTCATGGGGGAGGGGGGTGTTGTAACCAGGTCAGATTCTGTTTTGGTCCATCATTCCTATTCAGGCAATTTGGATTCCACTTGATCATATGAAGTGCTTCTGATATTTGACGTTCTTTGTGATTTCTGAAGTTTTTCTGGATTATTCCAATATTGTCAAAATCAATTTTGTGGCCTGATTCTATAGCGTGTAGACCTATGGGTGATGATTTTTTAAGGTTTTCTAATTCAACTGGATTTCTTGGTGGTCGAACAGACGCTCTGCGGTGTTCATTTCTTCTGATTTTGATTTCTCGAGATGTTTGTCCGATGTATATCGCGTCGCATTCCAAGCATTTTATTTTATAGACACAATTAGGTAGAGAATCTTTAGGGATTTGGTCTATTATACGGACAGGGTGGCTTTGAAGTGTGTCTGATGTTTTGAAGAAAACTTTAATGTCGAGCTTATTGAGGACTCTTCTGATATCGTCTGACGTCTCTGCTCTATATGGAATGACGACTGTTGAGACCCATTTCTTCGGAATCCGTTTTCGAACATTCCTAATGACAGTGTTGATTTTGTTGATAAAGTTCTTTGGGTAGTTATTTTGCTTGAGAGTTTCAATAATGTTTAATATTTCTTTTTCTTTCTCATCCATTATCAAAGAAGACTTAAAACAACTGATAGCTGCGCTCTGATGGGGTGTGATGATCCTAAGTCTAAATATTTGTTGGAGTGGATTTTCTTCCTGAATATGGATATACTAAAATGTCCATTTTCCCTCCTCTTAACTAGGCAGTCTAGAAATGGTAGTTCACCAATGTCTGATTCTGCTTCCGAGGCAAACTGGATTCTGGGAGATAGACAGTTTATTTTCTCCGGGAATGAATTGTGTAGATCTCGTTTTAGCACTACAAAAGTATCATCTACATATCTTAACCATATTTTAGGAGTGAGTATGCTTGGAAAGATGTTATTTTCGAATCTATTCTTTGTTATATATATGCAGAGATTTTGTAAATTCCGGTTTAATAATACTTTGATAAAGCTATCAGCAGCAGCATTAAATAGTGAAACGTCAGTAAAAACAAAACGATAATGTTTTTCATTCATTGGGAAATACAGAAACCTTTATTATAATGAATAGCATATACCGAATGCCCAAATTTTTTCAAACTGTTAAAAGTGAACTTAGTTTGGACATATATATCTCCTCTAATTCATCGATGGCTACTGGATGGATGCACTGGAGCTGCACTGGTCAGAAGTTAAAATTCACAGGTGACTGAGTGTTCAACGAGCTTCGCCTGTTAAACTGGAGGTATCAGTTTCCCTCACTGGCGGTGCAGTTGGTGGACACTACTGAAGGAGATCCAAACTGGGACGAAACAGCTGTCCAGTCCTTTCTGATTTTCAGCGACCTCTTGCTCATGTTGGTTCCCGATAAAATCTGCATTCAAATCTTATAGTTTGTTTACAATCGCTGTATAACTAGCATGGCCAACAATAATAGGAATAAATTATTTTTGACAATAGACAGCTCTATAGTTGGTTTGTAAGGATTAGATTTGTTTTTACGAGTCGATCACGGATTGATATCAGTTAGAGAACCATTGAAAACCAGCAGGGAGTACTGAACATCTGTTTCATCCTAGTTTGGGAATCATCAGCAGTACGCACCCACCGGACGGGGTTCAAACCCAGGACCTTGTGGTTACAAGGCAAGGGTTCGAACCCCGTCCGGTGGGTGCATACTGATGATGATTCCCAAACTAGGATGAAACAGATGTTCAGTACTCCCTGCTGGTTTTCAATGGTTCTCTAACTGATATCAATCCGTGACCATCTCGTCAAGATAGACAGCTCACAATCTTCAGTTAACTACCAGTACACATTCTGCGCCTCAACCCTTTTCATTACTTCTCGAATATTTTCAATTCCTGTGCCTACGATTAAAGAATGAAATTCCATGGACTCTATTTCACATTGCATCTACCAATTCAGGTAAAGTTTCAGCAACACATATATAGTTAGAACCAATAGGATGTTCCAACGTCATCGGAATGGATATATTTCTAAATGGTTATTAAGGAACATAAAACTCCAAATTTACCTAATCTGGATAGTTGTCCACTATCATCCAATGCAAAACAAGTCTGGTCAGAAAACCAATATTGATGACTGTTCCTCAATTATTACAGATAACTTTAATGCAAGGTTATTAAAGGTGATTTAAGCAATTAGGATTAATCATATGCATCCTACACAATTGTGTGTCGGTGGCATAGCGGTTAGGACGCTCGCCGACCATGCACATGGTCTGGGGTTCGATCCCCGGCCGACGCACTCCTCTACCTCGCTAAGCCAGAAGTAATGCTGGTGAAGAGGAAAGGTTGGGCATGAGGCTAGCAACCCTATCCTGTAAAATGAACACTGCTACAGAAACTTTGAGACTCTAGCTTGAAGCCCTATGTTCCACTGGGGAACGTGAAGGATAAATAATAAATAATCCTACACAATGAGTACAGAAAACAACAAATTTCAACTTTTGTCTAGCCTGGATTATTTGACCTACTAGGCAAAGTTAAACTTTAAGCACCACTAACTACTAATCAGCGAATGACCTCAAATGCACCAGTCAGTCACGTGAAGGAGGCATTCACCTGTATGGAATACATATGGTGAAGTTCAACAACAGCATCCCAGGAGTGCGATGACCTTGAACGCATGCTAGTGTTGTTGGCTGTCAGTTTTAGTTTGCAGTATCAACAAAGTATAATTCCACTGTGGGTAAAATTTATTTTGATAAATTCTCATAATGTCATACAGTAATATTTCCTGATCAATAAATGGCGCTCGAAACGTCACCAGTAAATATTACTGTATGACACTGTGAGACTTTATCAAAACAAATGTTACCCTCAATGGAATTATACTCTACCACAACAGTGTACAGGTGCTATTCTTATATCAACAGAGTAATTTAACCACATTCTATGCATATAATTATTTAGGTCTTCTAAACCTGACAATAATCCTAATCATTCCTGAACCTAACCCTAATGTGAAAAGATCCCTAAACGAACTGTTATCTAACTCGAACCAACCCTAATGTCGCCTTCATTAGTTTAACCTAACCCTAACTTTCCTTGGTTTAAACAGTAACTTAATCTTTCCCAAACCTAAGCTGAAACTTGCCAGATATCCCATTTAATAGCATAACGCTTCTATGAGCATATTTTATTGATGATGACAACATTATTTTCTAGGTTTCACTGACTGGCTCAGTGAGTGTCTCAAGGTCATTGGTACGGTCGCACTCTATTGGTAGTCAGTGGTGCTTAAAGTTTAACTTGGCCACCTACTAAAATGCTATTGGTTATTAGTATGCACTTTTTTATTTATTTTACTTGGATTTTGATTTTTCCATTGATTTATTGGACCGAAATGATCGATGTCTGTTGACATGTTAACTCTTTGTACGGAAGCTTCGACAATATCTTAGGATCAGTCAACGGGGAACTGAAAATTGAATTAAAAATAAATAATAACTGACAGCTATTGCACAAGAGGTGTCTGTCGTCGCCCAAGTGGTTTAGTGGATAACGCTTAGGTGTTTGAAAGGATGCATACTGGGGTTGGAGTTTCTCTGGGAATAATATCTATCACTCACTGGGGGAATGCAGGTACATCCAGATGATAAGTGCCAAATAGGACAGAATGCCCGTCCTGGATTCCACCAATAGCCACCATCCAGGAAATTACTTCGGCTGATTAATTGTCAGGTATTTTATTTTATTATTATCAACGGTGTTAGTTATAGATGTTTGTTTTACATATTTGTTTTTTAGATGTTGTTCACCTGATCGAGCACCATTGGCTGGAATGTTCGGTGGATTCTTTCTTACTCTTGGTGTATTTAGTGGAGTTTATGCTTCTCGTGGTTTAAACAGTCTCATATACTAAACCAATTTTAATGGAGAAAGTGATGTTTAACGCACCTTTCGCAAATACTTATCATCACTGCTGGTTTTTTTCTCCGTAATATTATCTAGTCAAAACTGGAGAGAGATAAACTTTTATTTGATTTAAACGACAAAGTACAGTATGAGCTGGAGTGTACCACCGGTTTTGTTGTACTTCTTCGTCAATTCATTTAGCTGTTAAACTCTCAATCCATCAATCGATCTGGAAAACATTTTTTCCATTACAGTTGATTTGTTTGTGTGTAACGCTATCCAAGGAGGAATTAGGCCACTATAAAACTGCATTTTGTTTTCTATCTCTTTTCATATAATGCATTCATTCAACTCTTATGACTTTTAATCTAAACAAATCATCAATATTCATTGTCATTTTAATCCGATCTTTTTGTATTTCACTGTTATTACTTTCCCACTCTTTTGCTTTGAATTTACACTCTGGTAATTGGATATATATATATATATATATATATATATATATATAATGTTATCGTGGGTATTATATAATATAAGTGAAACTTTTCACTACCCTGATTAGTGGGATTTTATTTTGTTAAATCTGTCTGTCTGTTTTCGACATAGAACTTTGCACATATGTACGGCAGTTCAAGTCGCCACACTCCATGTAGCTGACAAAGCAAGAGAAGAAAGTAGGAGAAATGCATAATAATATAGACAGTAAACAGAGGTGTGAGACAAAGGAATAGTAATAACGAAGAACAAAACAGTTTAATTGGAAATGATAAGTCACAAGGAGTGGATGCATCTGCGCTAGTCATTGAGAACCATTTTGAACCATGTCACCAATTGTTTCCAGCCATTGGTGTTTACCGTCCCGAGGACCCCAACCAGTTAGGAAGTCTACACCTTCCTACGTGGCTTAGACTAACTGTTGTAGATTTCATTGACTGTTGCCATGTTTTCGTTTGACCGTCGTTAGCTCTTTTCCAGCCTGACCCTATGTCAGCTAACATAAGCCGTCGAGGAAGGCGATGACTAGGCATGCGTAGCACATGTCCTAACCATCTCAGTCAATTTAATTTCACAGCCTCGTCGATTGATTTCCCCTCCTTACCTAGCACTCAACGCCTAGCCTCAATATTGCTCACTTTATTATACCACTTCACACGGGAGATAGAACGCAGGCACCTACGATCAAAGACAGCTAATCTTCTCATGTCTTCCACTCTCAATGGCCAGGTCTCACAACTAGCCATAAAGGAGGACGGAGCGGACTGATGAGTAGTACACACGCCGTTTGGTCGACAGCCAGTCGGATATCACGTCTACTAAGCCAGAGACGGGGTAAACTGGCATTTGCGAAACGAGCCCTCTGTATTCGAGCTGAGATTTTGTCAGAGATCAACCCGTTGGGGCTGATGGTACTTCCCAAGTAAGTGAAGCGGTCAACGTGCTCTACCACTTCACTTCCGATTTCTAATCTAGGAGTCGGTGTAGTCCAATCCTGTAACATCATCTTGCATTTGGCGGGAGCGAATCGCATGCCAAACATTCGTAGATTGCAGCTCAAGGTGTTCAGAAGACTCTGCATTTTGTCAGCGTCCTCGCCTAGAAGGACTATATAGTCTGCACATTCTAAGTCAACGAGATTATTCCCTGGTAGCAAGTCAATCCCTGAGTCTCTGAAGTGAGTTGGGGTTAAGTCCATTAGTACGTTTATGATGAAGTTGAATAGGAATGGGGATAATGGGCATCCTTGACGGACGCCACTAGTCGTCACCACTTCAGATGACAACTCGCCGTAAGCCCTCACCTGGCTGGATGAGTACGAGTAGAGTGCCTTGATCAGTGCAATGTATTTTCTCGGCATTCCCTTTACAGTCAAACATCGCCAGAGAACTTTGTTAAATATAAAACAGATTCCATCATAAGTTGATATCATTTAGAGAACCATTGGAAAACCTCGGGGTACTGGACAGCTGCTTCGTCGTAGTGCTTGAGACTCTTCATCGGTGCGCACCCACTAGTAGGGGTTCGAACCTAGGACCTCCCAGTTACAGCCACTGGGACCCAATGCAATGGCCTAAGAATTCTAACTGCTGCCAATTCTCGACATATTTAGCGCAAGTGTCACAACCGATGTCTAAAAGAAGCAATAAAGGTTAGTAAAGCAAGATTTAATGAATTCATCAAATTTCGGTAAAACTCGTCGGCTGAATACTCTACATATTTTTGAGATTACATTGGGAGATATAAGATATATATAAGCAAATAAACTACACCGAATTAGTCGTGCAGAAAGACAGGTGCGAATGTTTTCCAGGTCATGTTCAAATAAATAAGGGGAAGGAGGTTTGAGAGATTAAAATTAAGATAAAATGAATTACGCTTCAATTAAATCACTTAGATAAACAATTAGTCATTAGAGAACATATCAAGAATTGCAAACAGAGTAATATCAATAGTAATAGTTATAATTACAATAATAATAATGTTGAAGTGAGTTAAGATAATGCTACTAATAAAAGATAGTTTTAAATGAATCAAGAATAATAATAATAATAATAATAATAATAATAATAATAAGGGGTAGAATAATAATTAAAACGTATTGTAACAACAGAAGACAAGGGCCAGGCAACAGATCAGTTTTATTACGAAAACCAACAGGTATTTATATGTATTTTACGTACATTAATAAGGCTCTGCCCGCAGAAAGAAGGCGGTCTTCTGATTGGTTGTTTGCAAACAAACGCAGTCTTCTGCTTTCTCGTTTTCGATATTTCTCGGAAATGCGAGCCACTTGTCTGCGAATCATATTTGTCCACGTCTAGGTCAGCTGTGATCGGTTGTTGAATCAGCCTAGATTAATTTCCACCAATCAGCGTAGATCAATGTCTACCAATTGGCTAGCAGCTTGCTCTCACCACAGTATTACCATGGTAGATTCAAAGTGACGACCATCTCCTTTGGTACACAGAGACCTGATCACAGACGAGTGGACCTACAACTCCAGATAACTTCCTCTATAGAGCCAGTCACTAGTGAGCATCAAATTAATTATCAAGTATTGGTTTGCAAGGATGAAACAGCTATCCAGTACTCCCAGGTTTTCCAATGTTTCTCTGACTGGTTATCAGCTCGTGACCAAATCTCTGTGCACGCCAACACACTTGATAAAAAAATACATAAACAAGCCATCCAACTATAATGACACTAATATTTTAAAATCTAGACATAAATATGTGAAAATAACTTGCATGTGAAATAATAAAACGACATAAAAATGCTCACCCACGTAGCCTGGTTAAAGTACACATCTAAAAAAAAGTCCATCTACGATCACTTCAGATATTTAGCAATATTCTCATAAAAAACAGTTCAAGTGTAAATTAACTTTAAATGTGAACGAGTTATCTATTGGCCTGTGTATTTGATTGATAGACTGTTCGTGTCTAATAGCTCAAAGAAATTTTAGGGTGGAATTTAGTGGTATCTTCGACCTTAAGTGCTGCTATGCATTAAAAATTCTATAAATGCAGCAGCCGACATATATAGGTCAGACCGAAAAAATAGTACAATAACGACCGATGTTTTTTATCGAAAGAAAGTATTATTATTATTGTTTCCCTTAATTCCTAGAGGAACATGGGGCTTCAGCCGTGCATCTCCATTCCGTTCGGTTCCCCGCTAGAGTTCTCACCTGGCTCCAAGTCTGCCCACACATTTTCATCTCCTCTTCACATGACCTCCTCCAAGTCACCCTTGCACTGACGACCAACTCGCCGCTTCCCTTTCGGTTTCCACTCGAGGGCTTGTCTAGTGATGTCACTTGATGGTTTCCTCAGAATATGGCTAATCCATCTCCATTTCCTTCTGCCTATTTGTTTCACAATTGGTTAATGGTTGGTTCGCTCCCAGAGATCTCTGTTGCTCATCTTTTCTGTCTGGCCATGTGATCTTGAGTACTGAGCGAAGACAACTGTTAATGAAGGTCTGTAGTTTGTTTGAGATGCTCTTTGTGACGCGCAGTGCAAGTCTCTGATCCGTATAGTGAGTAGCACTGACTTCACAATGAAGTTGAAAATCCGGATCTTATTTTTGATGCTGAGTGCTTTCGACCTCCGCACAGACTTAAGAGTAGTGAAAGCTTGTCTTGCTTTCCCGATTCTTGCTTTGATATCCTCGTCAGTCCCGTCCGCCTGTAGTTGAAACGATGCTTCCCAGGTAGGTAGGTAAAAGAGGTTGTTTCTTTCAGGTTCCTCCCATTTATGCTGATTGTTGTCAGTTGTTGTTGTTGCTGTTGGTGGTGTTGCCCTGGAATCTTCATCACCTCTGTTTTCTCCATGTTCACCTGAAGTCCTATCTTCTCTGGATGCTTCTTCTGCCAACTTGTTGGTTTCCGCTTGCATATCTTCCAGTCTGTGGGAAATCAGACATATATCATCGGCGAAGTCCATGTCCTCCAGGTTTTTGTGTGAGTTCATTTTATGCCTGTTGTCATCTAAAGAAAGTCAAAGGGTCTTATAAGCTTGTGAAATAAACAAAATATCTTAAAAATCTCACCAAAAAGTTGGAGATGATGGCGTTGTGTATCGACCAGCTTTCACCAAATGACATAGTAAGCAGAAAAAAAACGACACATTTCTTTCGTGTGACATTCATTCTCAGCTAGTAGGCGTTTGATCACAGGAAATTCATTGGATCTGTCAGTCGTAAATTTATCTCCATCATCTAGATTATTCACAGATACACATGAATTTACTACAAAATTTATTGGTGTGAGATTTATTTCCTGTAGATTATTCACTATCCTATTCCTTCTGTCATAATATCTGGGACAATCGTTTAAATTTGCAGTCTAGTTTTTAACACTGAACCATATAAAGTTGTTCTTATTCCATTGCGTTGGTTTCATACACGATCTCCGGTATAAACAAATAATGAACTACTTACTACATTCTCATTGCCTCGCTAGCGTAACCGACAACTCCGGTCTTTCTTATGACTGCATGTATTTCGTTATTATTGTCATCATGATCACTGGCACTTATGGCGACTATAGACAATTTCTTAGCTAATGGTAGTCTTAATTTCACGTGAAATCTCATTGATGGCAAAAATGTCCACTAGGTTCATATACGTTTCTGAAAACTTAACCAACTGTATATGGTGCATTTGCTGTGTAAATTAGGTAACCGATAGATTGGTTGTGGAGTGCCATTCTTATTGATATACAAATCGCAATATTTCTGATGATCGGAAGCCTTTCAGACATCAGCTTTATTTCGATGTCTCCCGCTTTATGACCGAAATATTTAACATTCCTACAGTCTACCTGCAGTTTTACCACGTAATCCGAATTTTTCCATTTGGTTATAAACAGCTTTAAAAAGTCTCACAATTCAGATTCAAAAGCACTAAATTTATTAATCTCTTAAATGTTACCAGTGCTATAGCAAGACCAAACCACACTCGTACTGGTGTTATTCCTAACTCACAATGAATGCTGCATTATCTCCATCGTTGGCTGCTGTAAATCCAACCGAGAGTGCAGTTCTGTGAACAGTATTACTTCCAGAAGTAATCTACCATAACGGCTACCTTTAGCATTGAACTTGGACTCGATTCAATGGCGGTATTTAGACCTTTAAAGTTCAAGAGTGCTTATGTTTCCCCACCTACATTTTCATTAAGGGCAAGAAAGAACTATACAATCTGTCAACGTTTACAACTGTATCACTTTTTAACTTCTTTTGAACTTGATAATCAATCGACTTCTTGTAAGTGAAGGAACACGAAATGTCGAAAATAGTTTGAAATAAGAAATTTTTGCGAGAACAGTTTCTTTTGATAACGTCCTTCTTATGTTCTACAATTATAAACCCATAAATATTATCACAAAATAGTCAGTTAGTGATGAAAATCTAATTCCATCAGAAACTTGATATGCCATTTACATGTAGACAGATAAACAATGGATCATGCTTTTATGGACATCTCTTAGGCCTAAGTCAGTGGCTATATATATATATATATATATATATATATATATATATATATATATATATATACATAACATTGCTTCTTTTTGTAAGGGTACTGTTACTGATACTGAAATATACTTTTCGTCTCAGGTCGTTGTCCTCGCTTAAGTAGAGCGAGTTAAAAAAACATGTAGCTGCAGTACAATATTGTTGGCGTAGGCAAGTGGTATTCATCATTAGCACATCTGTATCCAACTAGGCATTTCTATCCCTACTTCAACTCGAAGTATTGCAAATATAGAAGTGCGTTTATCCATTCACCTGCTCGTATGGAGTTAGGTAAATATCGGTCGTTTGACTCGGGTTTTTTCCAAGAAGGTGCAAGAACACTATCCTGCATGGTTACGAAGAGGTGGTAGTGGAGCAAGAAGAAGCGCGATCACTGGACATCTGGTAGATAATGATAACCCTATCTCTACAGCCTCCACCTTTAAAGACAGCTACAAGGTGGAAAGTAATTTGCCCAAATCACTATGTAAGATCAATTCAATTCCCATCCTTGAATCAAGTCAACCTGTCCCGGATCAGCCTAGCGTTGTTGCAACCCAATTATCCATGCCTAACGTGTCTATCCCCCCTTGTTTAATGAACTGTGTATGTTTTTACATCGATCCGTTTAGTCAGACAGTTGAACTCATGACCCAATCAGAGTATTTTGTGAACTGTTATTTTTGCTGACCCATGTCTTACTTTGTACTATTCTGTCGAGTTTATCTTATTTATTGATCTTCATCTGTATCAGCCTACCTGGTTAAGTAGCCAATTAAATTCTATCTTTGTGCCTATGCTCTGTCTATCTCTTACTTGGGTTCATTCTTCTACTGACTGCTTACCTGAACGGTCGTGTCTGATTCCGGCTAGTTCGCAATTTTGGCTTTAACGTTATTCCGCTCTGATAGTGGTACCTTGCTTTCTGTTAAGCGTTGTGCTTTGTACTCTTGAAACCGTTAAGGTTTGTTGTATATATAATTATTGATTTGTTTATTAATAGTACCGTAGAAACAGTGACCGGCTTCTTGTTTGTTCTGGACCGGGATAGCCTTTATCTACGCGTGACTTAATTTCAAGCGATATTGCGCTTACACACTACCTATCCGTATCATCTGAACTGCTGAAGCTTTGGCTATCGAAAAAGAAAAACCAGATCTCTGTATACAGAAAAGTTCGTTCAACCCCTCCAACTTTTATGGTCTTAATCCCTCTATGCAAAAGCATGGTAATCCCTAATCATATTTTGTCTCTACCTATTTTTGGTTTTGTTTATTCAGTTTGTATACTCTTCTTTTATTACATCGATTGTTACTATTATTGTTTCCACTCTGACTTGTCCCCGGTATTATTTCACTTGTCATTCTAAATCAATTTTGTTTTGTAACGTTAAATTCTATGTTATCAAATTTCACTCAATGTTATGTAACGTTTTTATTTTATTCGATTTGCCTACTAATCCTATAATTGCACACCCCTTCCAAGTGCTATACATCTTATGGATCATTTTATATATTGGTTTTGTAAGGATTTTGTTTGATTGTATAGAGGATTTCATCATGAAAATTCATCTGATGCTCACTAGCGACTGACCCTATTCAGGCAGTTAACCTGGGGTTCCAGAGGGAAGACGTGACCAGTAGAGTACAGCAGGTTGAAGATGGGGCAGTAACTCGTCGAAGAAGACATTGCGAAATGGTCACGCTATGTCGTGAATTGGCAGAAGTTCGAATTCAGGAACCATTGGATCGGGTCCCAGTGGCTCAATGGTCTACGAGCTCGCTAGCCTTGTAACCAGAAGGTCATGGGTTCGAACCCCGATGGGTGCGTACTGATGAAGAGCCCCGATCACTGGGACGAAACAGCTGTCCAGTACACCCAGGTTTTCCAGTGGTTCTCTAACTGATGTCAGCTCATGATGAAATCCTCTATGCAATCAAACAAAATCTCTACAAAACCAATACCTGAATATTTTATTTATGACATTTATTTTTTTGCCACTTGACATATAACTATGATTATAATCACAAATATTTTAATTGTATTTCATACTATTATTATTTTATGCATTCACACTTACGATTCAATTCCCTTACCGGATATAATTTCTTAAAAAACCATATACATATACGATTGTACAGCTTAATAATAAATTCGTTGAAAAGAGTCTCTTCACTGAATCACTAGTTTTGATTTTCTAAATATAGAAGTGGTGACATCATAACAGGTAGATATAACCGAAGGGAATTTAATCAGACCATAGAATGCTATAATCCTGGTAATACATATTTATATCCTCCACGCGAAGTCAAAGAAGGTGGACAAGTACACTTGTGGTGATGTGATACAGACAATGTGTACCAATGGAATTTTATTCTCACATGTTCCCACAGTTCAATTAGACATTAACAACAGAATACGATATATCTATTTGAAAATTCTATTTGATGTTAGAGTCAGAATACTTTCCCACAATTCCATACAGCATTAGCAACAGAATACTATGCATATTTGATCATTCTATTTCATGTCGTTTAATGTAAACCGAAATCACATGCTCAGTGATTGGTTAACGAATATTTTTTTTCCTTCACGTTCCCCACTGGAGCATAGGGCTTCAAGCTAGTGGCTTGAATTCCATATTAGTTTGTTTATTAGGTATATCACACAGTGAAACAGTATTATTTACTGGATCATATGGTCCTGTTTGTATGTGAGTATTAACCTTGTCCAAATAGTCTGATTTGTCTAATACTACTGTTGCATTTCCTTTGTCTGACTTTGTGATAACTATATCCTTGTTATTCTTAAGGTGTTTCAAGACTTCTATCTCTTGTTTTGTCAGGTTAGGCTTTCCACATTTTTGTCGTTTTAATGTTAGTGCACATTGTGCCCGTACTTCATCAGCCGTAGTTTTGTCTATCCCACTTAGTGCTATTTCTATTTTAGGGATGACATCCTCAGGTTTCAGCTTGTCTACAGATACATTGAAATTTAGTCCCTTTTCTAATACACTTATTTCCGTAGGACTTAATGTATGTGTTGAGAGATTGATAACCCACTTTGATTTATCGATCGCCGTTGACTTTTGGTTGTTGACTTCATCATTCTGAGATGTAGATTTCTCTTCTAATAATTTGTTGAACTTTTTGATTTGACTATTTTTTGACTTTGTGAAAGTTGCTGATTTTGCAATGCTGGAGGACTGTGTTATAAGATCATAATCTGTACTGGTAACTATTCCTTTTATCTTTTGTTTTAATTGTGGCTTTTATCTTTTGTTTTAATAGTGGCTTGAAGTTTCTGTAGCAGTCTTTATTTTACAGGATGGGGTTGCTAGCCTCATGTCCAACCTTTCCTCTTCACCAGCATTATTTCTGGCTTAGCGAGGTAAAGGAGTGCGTCGGCCGGGGATCGAACCCCGGACCATGTGCATGGTCGGTGAGCGTCGTAACCGCTATGCCACCGACGCACTGGTTAACGAATATAAACTGTACATATATATGAACAGCAGTTTGATCAATGGAAAACATACCTTGGCTCCATTATCTTGCCTTTTGTTGTTACAATATTAGACTCTGAAGATATAACCGTTTTTATGAACTAGACAAGAATTGGATGGAGGATTTCATCATGAGCTGACATCAGTTACAGAACCACTGGAAAACCTGGGAGTACTAGACTAGAATTTTTAGTAATAAAACAAAAGAGGCAAGCAAACTTGCAAGTGTCAAATTGAAACACAATCCAATTTACACTGTAATGTGTTTTTTTTTTAAAACAAAGTGACTTTGAGTAATTTTCTAGAAAGGCAACATAACTGAAACCAACAAAAACACAACAACAGCAAAACATTAAACACAGTCGAAGCGAACTTTATTTCGTGATTATATGTGAATCAGAAAAAAAAATTTAACAGAAACTAATTTCGTTGTATTTTGTACACAAAATGAAATGTAATTTTACAAAGAAAAAAGAAATCAAAACAAAAGAATTAGCTAGAGCAATTGTATTTATTTTTTTAAATACAGCGCTAACTAGTATTATTCTTTATTCTAAAAGACATTTATTTATTCGAAGCTGATAATAACAATAATAATAATAATAATGTTGTTGTTGTTGATGATAACACAGACAAATCAACTGTCTACGTGTATTATTAATTAGTGGAAGTATAGACACAGGAAAAAAAGGCATAAAGAAGTTGTATGAAGACGAAGAAGAGGGTAAAAAGTTCTTCATGACTAGAATTACAGTCTTCTATGACATTTTCGACAAATGAATGGAAGGCGGGCGGCGACGAGGAGGTGTAAGGTGGATGACAAAGTTTTACAATGAATATATTATATATTATGTATGTTGAGGATGAGAAATTCTGCTTTCTTCAACTCTCAGAAACAAACTCAAGGTGGAAATCAAGCTCAAAATGATCAATACCTTTTACAACAACGATATAAGCCTTTAAATAAAAATTAGAATCGTATAGAAACGTATTACTAATATTCTATTTTTTTACAGTTATATCACATTTTTTTTGTCAGAGAGGAATAAATAATGAAAAATGAATGTGTGTTAATCCCCCCCCAGAACCCTGCTGCACACACACACACACAAACACGTAGAATAGAGCATCATCTGAACACAATGTTAAGAAAGGAATAACTAGATAGTTTGAGTGCAGCATGGCGTTCTCATCAGAAATGACACTAATGTGACAACTAATCATAAGATAAATAAAGATTATTTATTAAGTAATGGACAAATACTGACATTGGAAATAGTTTTTTTTTTTAAAAAAAACAGAAAAATTCATACTGTGCATGTATATCCTGCCAAGTGTGTAAACAACATGAAACATTGTTATACAGATGTGGTATACTGTGAAAGAAATCAAAAAACCGGAAGTTGATCGTTGTATTTTCAAATGATTGTCCTCCCCTCCTCTCTCTCTCTAAATGATTTGAGTTATGTTCACGAGAGAGAGAGAGATAACAAAGAAAAGATCAGAAGTAGAAATAAATAATAATAATAAATAACCGATTCATTGATTGACTAATTAATTAACTGATTAATTAACTAATTCACAAATACAGAGTCTACATGTTGCATGTTCATTCACTGTACGAAACTAAAAACACGTTTATTGTATTCACATAAAATAAATAAATAAATAACTAAAATGAAGATAGCTAGATAGATATTTATTTTTCAATTTTTTTTTCTACAAAAAAGATAAGCAAACATAATTCGTTGAGTTTTTCTCTGTTTCGTTTTCTTCTTCTTCGTCTACTTTCCATTTTACCAGTTGGATGGATTCAACTTTAATTTGTATAACTTCAGTTTGAAACCCAATGATTCTGATAACAGGGTAGATACACATGAAAGTAGAACTAATTTAAATATATTATAGACTAAAGGATTCAATGTCCAACCACAAACACGGAATGGGCCATCCACTTCTTTTAATAAACTTTCAACTAAGCGTAGAACTTGAAATGTAAGCATTAAATCTTCCTTTTTATGCGGTTTACTTTCCATACTCAAATAGAGATTGATCTAGGAAAACATTTTCAAAAAAAAAACAAGCAAAATTTTATTAGTATTATTAATAGTTCCAAGTGTTGTTTTATTATTATTTTTTTGAATTAAAATAATTATCATGTCTAAAAAAGTGTGTAGCGGTAGGTAATTCCCCAGAATTATTAGGCACAGTATTCATCACTGAACACTGAATGCTGACCGTCACTGTTTTAGTCGATTTGTTTAGTTGAAGGCTTACGGTCAAGCATCCATGCCATTTTGCACGCCATCGTGTTACGTTCGTCCGTTCGTGCACGATCCCTAGCTAGTTAAGCAGTCATCTCGCACTCCGATTTGGTACTGAAATATACTTCGTAATTTGGATGATCAATTCTGTTGTTTAGCTTTGCCTTTGGTCTACGCGGAACGAATACTATAGAAGTTGTGGGTATTAGATTTTGCGTTAGTATACTTCGTACTATCCGTAAACGTCAACACCCTTAGCCTCTAAACTGGTGAGCTCTACCGCGAACTTCATCTGGCTCCACAATATATTGTCAGTAAACTCCTCACACGTTCTGCTCCATATCATCCTCAGACCCACGCCCAACTCGTCATTTCCACTTGAGGGCCTGACGCTCAACGATCTCCACAGCGTGTGTCCAATTCATCTCCACTTTCCTCTACATATTTGTTGAGCGATTGATTACTGATTGGTCCGTTCCAAGAGTTCCTTGTTGTTAATCCTTTTCTGGCTGGTCATCTGATCTTCATTATGGAACCAGAGAAGGCAGCTGTTTGATAAAAGTCTACAGACTGTTCCAGATGACACGCCAAGTCTCTGAACAGTATAAAAGAACTGACTTGATATTAGTGTTCAAGAATTCGAATCTTGTTCATTTTCCTTAGTGGAATAGATTTCCAGACAGATAACAGATTAATGACGGTTTGTCTTGCTTTTCCGATGTTGGCTAGCGTTGACATCTTCAACCATACTGCCTAGATAACTCACAGAAGTGACTTATTTCAAATTCACTTAAAAATAAACAGCCAATAACTAACAGCGCCACATCGAACTACTAAAAACAAATAAGGAAAAAGAGGATTGTTAGTCTGAGCGACTAATTCGGGGGAGAGATTTCCAAAAAGAAAGGAAGAATTTTTAGTCAACAGAGTATGACATGTGCGTCAATCCTAGTGGTAGCGGTGTCTTTTTATCGATTTCTGGGTGTGGTAAAAGTGTAACTGTCTCTTAACACGGAAAGATGTTAGACGATGAAGTTTTATTGATACAAGTACTTGTGAACGTTGATGCAGCCAGTCTAACTAATGTATTCTTCAACATATGAAAACGAAGAATGATGTTGATTTTGACCTGTAACCAGCTTAAGTCAAAGGGAAAGACAAAAAAAAAGGATTTTTAGCCATTTCAGAAGATCCTGTATAAACATAGTGCTTCTAATATTCCAAAGTTTGTTATTTATCAGTGTCACCAGAACAACAAAATTCACAAATCCTGTTTGTATCAAGAAATTAAATAGAGTAACATATATTATATTATATATATATATATATATATATAGGACTTCTGACAAATTGTGCGTGTGCGAACTGTCAACATGTGAGGTACCTAAAAAACATACAAGATTTACCGTGCAAGTTTGAAAGTTCACAGTTATGCAATATGCCAGCTTGCCTAAAGTTGTAAAAAACAACACCTTCAACATGAAACTAGTACATGTATAATTAAAAACAACTTACTTGTTCAGTTATAAGTACAGAAAAGTTACGGTATTTCTTTGTGATTTTTGTACCAAGAAGAATGAAACGATAGAGAAAGATGACGATGCCAAAAGTAAGACCCAAGATATCCCAATTAGTTAATTGAAGAAAAACACTTCCACGACTTTTTGAAAGAAGCTAAAAAGTTAAATTTTGAAAAAAAATTGAAAGTGAAAATACCTTTTTAATTAATGGTCACAATTTAATAATGTCTGATTTATAGATTACGTTCAGTAAAATGTATTTACTCTACAACATCCTGAAATCAGTTTGGAAATCTTCTGAACTCATAAACAACAAGATGAGGATTTTCAACACAAATGTTAAGCCAGTCATTTCTTCTATATGGGTCAGAAACTTGTCGAACGCGTCACCAAAAGCATTTCCAACAGCCTGATACAAACTTTTGCTAACAACTACCTTCGTTAGCTCCATTAATGAACATCACATGGCCGGAAAAAAATTAGCAACAATCGCTCAAAAAATCTGTGGACGGAAATGGAGATGGATTGGACACACGCTGGGGAGACCATCGAATGACAACGCACGCCAAGGCCTCCAGTGGAAGTGGAATAGGAAACGACAAGTTAGGCGTGGGTCCGAGGATGATATGGAGGAGATAAGAGATTCATAGGCAAACGTGGGGCCAACTGAAGAGGATTGCAGAGGATAGGACGAAGTGGAGATGTGCCCTATGATCTACTCGGGACCCAAGGGAACAATAATACTATAATAAAACTCCACAGTGATTTGAAGTGTATAGGTTAATTGGAGGGAGTTAAGGTCAAATTTGATTGAACCATGAGACTATGAATAACTATTTATTAAATCCTAAATGAGGAATAAAATGGACACACAATACTGAGTGCATATAAGCGTGAAAAATAACGATTGCTTGTTAATTCAAAGTTCAATGATTCAGTTTCCACGATTAGTTAATTATGGCGACCAATAGATAATTAACGATAATAAATAAACTGAATAAATGTCAGGAATAAAGTACTGGCCTTTTTTCACACACTACGGTTTCATGTAGTTGGTCCTAAGTTCAAACTCAACTACAATTACTTTGAGCAACTAGAAAGTATTAAAAGATCTCCCTTATAAACTCTGATTTACAGCCTAATACATAAAGTTCAAAGGGTGAATGTGTTGCATAAATGAAAGTAGATACGCGAGGTATGCGCACTGATAAAAATCTTCCACCCTGGTTACAAATTCTCAGATCGATATGCACACCTTCGTTTAACTGAAGTGCTTAAATATTGGGTACAGTATGATTACATAAAGCGAACAATTAACAAAACGCTTCGAGTTTGTTCGTTTATTGAAGTGGCAGTGAGACTTCCTTTTAGTTTCAGTTTTTGAGTTTTGCTACTTAAATATGTATTTCATAAGGGATCACGATGCTTTAAGAGATCGCATATTCTTTCATCAACAGTTAACAGTGACATGAAATCTTGAATACACAGGAGAATATAAGTGTGATTTTGGAGAAAATAAACTTCGATAATCATACATATTTTCACGCACTCAGTAATGAGTTACTTTTTGAGTGTGGAAGTTCATCATAATATCTGTTGTCAATGTTGGTGAACATTGAATGGTATGTTTATCCGAACTAATCTCTGTTTGGCGGGAGACAACAATGGCGACTGTTGTTTAGTTGTATGCTCGTTGGAAGAGGGCTGGAGAAATACGATGAGAAGCACTATCATACATTTTATTAACGTTTATTTACAGACTCTGTACACAGTAACTTGTAATCCTGTTTCGTAGTCGGTGGAGGAATAAACAATCGTATTGTCCTTCCATTTTCTGATATTCCACGTTGGTTACTGTGCATAGTATTTGGCGTGTTAGGCGTAGTCTTCTGAAATCAACGATAGGTTCAGGATCTTTGTGATCTCGACATTTGACACCTGTATACACCAACAACACCGAGCTGAGAGGTGTGATATAAACTCGTAACACGGTGACTGAAAGTAAACCTACGCGTATATATTCCACTTTTCAGACAAAAATGTATACTAAATCATATTACAAAAAAACAGACAGGAAAACGGTATTAGTAGAATACTTACTTGGGCACATAAACTGAGACCCAGTGTGAAGACAATATAAAATGCAGTTGCCATGATAATTTCAACTGATCGTTGTGGACCACGCTTCTTTAAATACGATCGAAGCATTAACCAACACTTTATATGACCAATTTTATTCAGACGAAACTGTGGTACTCGATATTTTAGAGCACGACGTCCAGATGTTAAGGAGAAAAAGTATTTCGCGTAAAGTAAACGCTAGAAGTTATGAAAATGAATAAATAGATTAATTGTAATATATATTCACATTGTATACTTACATAAATAAAAAAATTTATAAACATGAATTAAGTGAATAATTTACCTCTTGAAAAGTGCGTTCAGCAATGCATAATAGGAAGAATACCGTACCATACACATTGAATCTTAATATGAATCCAATTAAGATAACCAAACGTCCTCTAAATAAAAATAACGACAAAAGATAATAGAGACGTTAGATTGAAAGTAAAAAACCCAGCGAATTCAAACTGTGACAAACAATCATGCCGAAACTATAATTGAACATAGAAATGAAGATATTATATAGCTATCTATATAAACAATTCCAACATTCGTAGGACATCAAAAAAACTGATTTTCGCAGTTCACTCTTTAAAAGCCTACGGGTAAGAGATAATGAAAACTACTTCAGTGAAACCTGTAAACGCCTAGAACACAGCAAAAACAACAGAACTATTTGTCTTTTCGATAAAGAAAGGAAGACGAAATTTGCAGTATAAAATGACATCATTCTATTTCACAGGTTCTCATCAACTGCACACCACTACCTGAAATTACAATGGTTATATAGATGATAATAACATACTTTAATGTTTAAGTGGTAGTAGAGAAGAAATACTATAAAACTGACGCATCCAAAGTGTAAGCATTACAAATTTTAGTTTAAGCTTTCATCATCAATTTATACGCTTTCAAAGTAGAAAAGAGGGGGGAGGGGTAAGACAGAAAACAGAAAAAATTAACAAAGTGTTAGCTTGTAGGTTCACATAGCAACCCAAAAAACAAAAGCGGTTACAGTTTGTAAGATTTGTTCAGTGAGTTGAGATCACTGAATTAGATGACTAATTAATGTAATCAAAATCAAAATTCAGTTACCAAGGGGGTGAGAGGTTAATCACATTCTTTCTGTATGCATAAGTCTGGTTTGAATCGTTTGATTGCGATCGTTTCGGCAAATCGTAGTAAATTTGCTGTCCTTTGTCTATTTAATATTTTGAAGGACTTAGAAATCTCTACGAGATGTCCGGTATCAACAATATGTCTGGTAATTGCACTCTGAGAATATTTGCTGTGCCTGTGCCTGAAAGGAAGCACACTGTTTGTTAATTTTTTCTGTTTTCTGTCTTACCCCTCCCCCCTCTTTTCTACTTTGAAAGCGTATAAATTGATGATGAAAGCTTACACTTTGGATGCGTCAGTTTTATAGTATTTCTTCTCTACTAGCACTTAAACATTAAAGTATGTTATTATCATCTATATAACCATTGTAATTTCAGTTAGTCTGCAGCTGATGAGAACCTGTGAAATAGAATGATGTCAATTTATACTGCAAATTTCGTCTTCCTTTCTTTATCGAAATTTATCAAGGGAACCAAATGTATGAAGTATTTGTCTTTTCGTATGCATTTACTGCTTCAGTCACTCCTAAGAAGACTGGTATACTAGACGTAATACTATGCAAATTAACGAACCTGTTGTCAATTACCTTCCTTTATAGCTAGTAAAGAGATAATTTCGCTCTATTAAAAGTTAAATCCTGATCAAGCGATAGACATATATGCAATATTCACCAAAAATCAACTGTATCCTACTGAATCTTTCATAATTATTTTCCTTTCTTTGATGAGTGAACTGTTGTCGTATTCAAGTTTAACTACGGATTGATATCAGTTAGAGAACCATTGAAAACTAACAGGGAGTACTGGACAGCTAGCTGTCTCGTCCCACTTTGGGACTTTTCAGCAGTACGAACCTACTAGGGTTCGAACCCACGGGCTTCTGGTTACAAAGTAAGCTCACAGAACACTCAGCCAATGGGCCACAACTCAATGGCCAATCCATGAATTCTAACTTCTACCAATTCGAGATTTTAGCGCGAGTACCAGCCAATGTGATCGCTGAGTATTTCTCCTCAATCCTGACATTGTGGACCCCGCTGGTCACGACTTCTCATGGCTTGTTGTCATATTGGAAGTACGCTTCTGTACATGCTTCAAAAACATTTCACACATGATGGAGAAAAAGTAAGAATGAATGTATATATAGGAGAAAATAATGCTACTTACTGTATATCTGGTTTAGAGAACCAATTAATAAAGAATTGTCCAGTTACAATATTCCAAAATATTATACAATAAGGTTGAGAACAATTAAAAGATTGTACATCAGCACCAATTAATAAATTGTACATTTTTAGTAGAACAGAAGAAAATAAATGATTGAAAATGCTTAATATAGCACGTATATACAATCCGATAACAGTATTTCCAAAAATAGAATTATTAGAAGTAAATAAATGTGTAAATAATGTTTGATTTAAAGAATTATTATTTTCAAGAAATAATATATTATCTCCTGTTATAAACGATGATAGAAATTGACCATCATTATTTTGTACATTCGATGGATTAATTATCAAGTGATCAGAATTGTTTGTTGAATTAGTCGAGTGAAATATGACAGCTACAAAAGGCAATAGAAATGTAGCAATACAAGCAAGCATTATGTAATCCGAAGAAACATTTTGTCGTTCAACAGCCTTTTAAAAGAAAAAAAAGTAAGAAAAGAAACAGAAAGAAAAAAATCGCATTGATTACATATTTATCATATACGACGAATGAGTATGATATGCAATACAGAATTGAACAAGTACATTTAACAGAGGAACACATAAACAATTTTTTCCTTCACGTTCCCCAGTGGAACATAGGGCTTCAAGCTTGTGGCTTGAAGTTTCTGTAGCAGTGTTTATTTTACAGGATGGGGTTGCTAGCCTCATGCCCAATCTTTCCTCTTTACCAGCATTATTTCTGGCTTAGCGAGGTAAAGGAGTGCGTCGGCTGGGGATCGAACCCCAGACCATGTGCATGGTCGGCGAGCGTCCTAACCGCTATGCCACCGACGCACACAAACATTTACCCACTGGTAAATATCAATGGTGAAATGATAAACCATAGTTGCATAGGTGCATAGAATGCTTCATTCATACTACTATGTTACTACTTAAGGCATACAACCACATTCAGAAGACCATTCGCTTTGGCATACAATTAAGGTTTCTTTAGATATAATGAAGAAGATTTGTAGCTCAGGTGGATGATTTTGATGTAGTTGTGTTCTCTGAGCTGGATGGTTTATTTGTGAAGCTTTCATTACCCTACTAGGCAACATCTTCAGCTCATACTTCAATTTGAAGTGAGCTTTTAGATTTCTCCATGAGTTTATTAGTCATCTCTCCTGGTGGGTGACCTTGAGCGTGATTGGTTGTTTTGTGTGTTTTCACACCCTCTAGGCTACTTGCATTGGTACTGATTGTTTCCTTGACCTGAAGTTTGACCCTTTGTGTGTGAGATTTCCCTCTTATCGATTGGCAAATTTTGTCTATGTCAATGTGTCTATTGATTGATGATTCACTGGAATACCAGCGGGCTTCTAAAAATTCTCTGGCATTCTTGGTGTTTCCTCAAATTGAAGTATGCGCTGAAGATGTTGCCTGGTAGGGCAATGAAAGCTTCGCAAATAAGCTATCCAGCTCAGAGAACACAACTACAACAAAATAAGTTTTATTTCCAAGTCAGTTAATCCATTTCGATAGTGTAGCGTGATGTAGATTGATAAGAAGCGACCAAGACTGAAATCAACATTTGCAGTCAATGGCTGCAGAGTTCACGTTTTAGAAGTGAAATAACCTCATTGGACAACTTGTTTAACAACCTTGGGTCAATTGCCAACCTATCAGAACAATCTTTTTTTCTCTAACCTAGCCGAACTTTAATCTGGTTAAAAATGTATAAGTATGATGTGTTTTTCCTCAATAAAAAAGTCCGTTCCCAATTCTCTTATCTTCTCCCGTTACAGTATCAGTCTACATTAATAAATGAAGCAATTGCTTTACTCTATCATTTCAGAAGAACTACTTTCTAAACTCAGAATGTGTAAAGATGTGCTTTCAATGATATTCTAGTAAAGGTTGAATCTATAAGACATCGTTTCATCATTCCGATATCCTTATAACACTTAAGATACCTTCTTTCTAGCTCCACATAGTGTTCCAGGCATTCAAATTGACTGACTGTATTTCTAAGCTTTTGTGTAATAAGTTGAAAGCCACTCGATATGCTTAAATTTGAGCAACTACTTAAAAGTATTACCCAAACAACAAATACAGGTCAATCGAAGATACGAAACTTCACAAGATAGTTACTTGAATTTATTCTACTGTTATACATTCCATGCACGATTGCGTAATTTTATGCCAGGGGTAATAGGTTTGCTACATCTAACCCCGTGGATTTTCCATCCACAACTAACTGCGTTCTAAGCTTTCTTGACAAAAGCATTCTCTCTGCGATATCGAAAGTCAAACAATTCCACCCCTGCTTTCATTTTTGTTTCCTTGATGATAGTAAGAGATGAGGAAAACGTAATTTATCTTATACGTGTCGAGTATACTGGAGTAACACATTTCAAGCATTCTGACCACACACACACACATACACACGCATCTCTCGTATACAAAAGGTCAAACATTAATTCATTAAGAGGTCAAGACCACACGTTATAGAAAAATAACATCAATATGTAAATAAATAACTATTGATTTAAAATTGGATTACGGAGGGAAGAGTTCAGCATACTAGCAAATAAATTCTGAACACATAAAATACGTTTAAACTTATTTATTTACAATCCGTCTCTATAGATGAGCCTTGCCATAGATGACACTGAACATCTATTTCTAAAGTCAACTAAGTTAAATGACTTCACTTACTTCTGCAGTCTTTTGGGATATGTTCAGTAAGCCTAACCCGCTAATATCGATGGGTCCTCTGCACATGTATATTTGAATATATATACATAAAGGACAAATACGTTTGTGATCAGAATGTTCCAAATGTGTTGCCAATAAAACACTACGAGTGTAAAGTAAACTACAAAGATTTAATTTTTTTTTTTGCCTCAATTCAAAGAGGAAGTCAATCGCTCTAAGTATCTAGAAATTCTCAAGACAATGGAAACTTCTAACAAAATGAAGACGCATGGAAACATAAAGTATAGGATTCACAGAAGAGAGTGAGTTGAACTGTGTGGGATGAATTGAGTCAAAAGCAATTGAGTGGTTAAAACAAATTACAGGAATTTTAAAAAAAACATGGGACAATTTCATCACTTACATAGATTACATTCTTTCCAATATCCAACATGGTTAGATTGAATTTTGACAACTTCTCTCCAGCCCACATATAACAACGAACTTTTTGAAGAAGAAATAAGAAAAAAATGACATTTAAACAATTATAATGAGATATCGGTTGGTGATTCTTCTGAAAAAAAAACTCTACCGTCTAAAAGACTTGATGCTTTTGGAGTTAACAAGCCAAAATACAGAAATGAAATAACTACTGGTTTTAATGAGACGGTGTCAGTGGTGCAGAGGTAGAATGCTCGCCAACCACGCGCGAGGTCTGGGGTTCGATCCTCGCCCAATGCACTGCTAGACCTCGCTAAGCCAGTAGTAAGGCCGGTAAAGAGGGAGATTGGACGTGAGACTAGCAACCCCAATCCGTATAAATAAAACCAGTGCTACCGGAACTTCAGAGCTCAAAAAGCTTGAAGCCCTATGTTCCACTCAGAAAGAAAAAGAATAAAATAAAAAATGATAAAATTCAATGAAACTATAAAGCAGATTTAAAAGGAAGGTAGCTTGCGTCGGTGGCATAGTGGTTAGGACGCTCGCCGATCTTGCACATCGTCCGAGGTTCGATCCCCGGTCGACGCACTCCTTTACCTCGCTAACCCAGAAATAACGCTGGTGAAGAGGAAAGGTTGGGCATCAGGCTAGCAATCCCATCCTGTGAAATAAACACTTCTACAGAAACTTCAAGCCACAAGCTTGAAGCCCTATGTTCCACTGGGGAACGTAAAGGAAATTAAAAAAAAGGTAGCTTGCGATCATAATTAAACTAATTGATGGTTTTAGAAAAACTAAGATTTCTGTAGGCACAAGATTTATCGCAAAATCTCGGGTATAAAGTATAGAATAGCTTTCAGGCTAAAAATGTATGATCTAGACTATGGATCATCAGTTACTTCGACTTTTTTCAATTTATCCTATATCTTTCTAACCGATAAGGTTGAAAAACAACCCTGTTTTTCGAAAGTTATATTCAGCGTTGAGACACGCAAGCATTTTGAAAGCACAACACTTCTCATGAGAAATGTTATACGCATTCTGCTACTAAAAAAGTTTTAGTTAGTGTATACACGACATCAGGTATCTAGCAGGCTGCACACTTTCATCACCAATGCTGCCTTCGTTAGCCACACACTAGGGATCAGACGACCAGAAAGGACCCGCAATAGAAAGTGAACAAACCAACTAACAACTTATTGTCCAACAAATATGTAGATGGAAATAGAGATGGATCCGACATACACTAAAAAGACCGTCGGGTGACATCACACACCAGACCCTTGAGTGGAACCCGAATGGAAACCGACGAGTTGAGCATGGGTCCGAGAATGACACGGAGAAGGGTCATGTGAGGAGCAGATGAAAGTGTATGCACAATCGTGAAGCCAGCTGAAGAGGACTGCAGAGAACAGGGTGAAGTGGATATCTGTTGTTGCAGCTTTATTTTCCACTCTGAACCTTAGGGAATAACAATATTATAATAATGGTGTGTACACAAAATTATGTTACACAAAAAGCTATCCCGTAAAATATTATCCACATATAAAATGTAGATAATTTTGCAAATACAACAATAGCATTGTTTTCTTTAAAAATAAAAACGAAATAATATATGTTAGTGGATGACAGCAAGAACTATGATTAGAAGATTGATAGTATGATAATGTTAAAGAATTAAGTTACAACAACATACCAGTGTCATCCTTGGCAGATTTCAGATTATCATAAGCATATGAATCTCTATTCTGGAAAGGAAAAATAAAACAATAATTTGAATATAAGAATTTTCTTTGCATAACTTCACATCTAAATAAATTAAATTTTAGTAAATGTTAACGTTGTTATTAGATTTTAATTGGTGGATGGTGACTAGCAGTGGAATCCAGGATGCACATTTCGTCCCATTTAGGACTCGTCACCTGGATGCATCTGCATTCCCCAGTGAGTGATGATGTTTCCACCGAGGCTCGAATCCAGTGCCCATAGTTTCAAACTCCAAAGCGTTATCCACTAGACCACTTGGGCCACGAGAGCCACCCCTAAAGTTCAATTAAATAATTGTTATTAGATAGATAAGGCAACTCGGTAGGAAGCCTTGCTTGACCTAGATATCGTGCTTGTTGGCACTTGTCCGTAGGGCGTGTCTGCAGTTTTGAAGGAACAACAATTCAGAGTACACCATGATGGAAGGCCACTTAGCATGCTGACCACATTGCAAAGTTGACTGACAGAATTCAGTCTGCAGCAAACAAAGGACTAGACGTATGACACTAGTTATTGTCCAATCAAATGATAACGTATATGTGTTTTTTTCATTTTTCTAACGACCGCTGACATGAATTACTGGTCACCATTACTGGGAATGGATCCCAATTATAATAAGAAAGGATAGAAGTGTCCTACACAACAGTCAATTTGACTAATAGTGGTGAAATCGCGAAATCAGCTAATATCATCCAATGGCTTTATGGAACCTGATAACTGTGAACTAAACTAAAAGTTAAACAACCGTTGTTTAGATGCATAATACTTAGTGTCAAAATCTCAAAAGAAGCCAGAAATTCAAGATAACATCCATCTGCTAGCCGAAAGCGAGGTGCCTAAGCAAATAAAACACACATGTGAAGCAGCAATTCATCACTAGATTTCTCGTACATTATATCCAGCTCTATCACTCCGCAGTTATCATTAATTTTAAAGGGAGAGGTGATGGATAACTGCATACTACTGATTCATATGACAGCTAGGCAAAAAAACAATTGATGATTGTAGTAAGATGAAGAACTCATCATTAGTTGGATATACTGTAGCGAAATCATCGAGACTGCCAACAGCTATGCGGAGAAGTGGGATCTCTAATCGTCACTTATTACATCATTTTAAGTCGATCAAAACGAGGATATTTAGCCAACAATATTCTTTTCAATTTACAAGATAGGACAACAAGTAAAATATATTATCAAAGTTAGTTGCAAAGTAAAAAAAATAACTTTCAAACAATATGTCCACCACTTTCGTATTATTGAAACTTTAGCTGTCCATATAAGCATGTTAGATATTAGCTTAAAAACCTCTTCACTCTTAAAATATCCTTAAAATCCCTACATTTTATCCATTTCGCATGTAATATCAAAGCTACTTTGCTTCAACGCTCATTTTGATTCCTTTATTGAATCTCCATTAGGGATAAGATTTTATTTTGATCAATCACACAGTGTTGTACAGTAATATTAACTGATGACGTTTCGAGCACAAACTATTGCTCATAATCATATCATATGATTATATATATATGTATTATATATAGCTCATAGTGGAGCCAAAGCAATTTAAATAATTACGAAGCATTCTTAAGAGTGCAAATAGACTTCCAAAGATCAAATGGTAATAAAAACAAGACACTTAGTTCAACGAAGAGTCGCTTGTAGGTGAATCCATCCACTTGGCTGTACCACAGCAGCCATACCGGCTATAAAAGTAGTGGCTCTTCTATAAGGAGTGCGATAATCGAACATCTTGTCAACACAGGTCATTCCATTACAATAAATGCCTCCTTCAAAGTAATCTACAAAGTGAAGAGCAACTTAACAGCAGCAAAAAAAACTTTCGTCTTCTTCGCATTCCCGAGGAGATTTGTAGCTCAGGTGAATGATTTTGATGTAGTTGTGTTCTCTGACCTGGATAGTTAATTTGCGAAGCTTTCATCGCCCTACTAGGAAACATCTTCAGCACATACTTCAATTTGAAGTGAGCTTTAAGACTTCTCCACGAGTTTATGAGTTATCTCTCCTGGTGGGTGACCTTGAACGTGATTGGTTGTTTTTGTGTGTTTTCACACTCTCTAGGCTACTTGTATTAGAACTGGCTGTTTCCTTGACCTGAAGTGTATGAGATTTCCTTCTTATCGATCGGTAGATTTTGTCTATGTCAATGTGTATATTGAATGAATGTTGGCTTGAATACCATGCTTCTAAAAATTCTCTAGCATTATTGGTGTTTCCTCTGTCTAACATTTGAACGTTGTCCCAGTCGAATTGATGTCCGTGGTTGTCTGTATCCACCGATATGAGCGAGGGAGTGGATGTCTTTATCAAAATGCTGACTAATGTGCAAATTGTCGATTTGATTCAAATCTATAAAAATATCCACTAACTTCTCTTATTCGTTATTTCTAGATAACTACTAGACAATCCTGTCAATTTCGCCTTAAACGTAGGTATCGGTAAGGCTATCAGCCAACAAGAAATAAGTTTTATATTTAAGCCTATTACACGATATTATTATGTAGGTGAACTGAGCAATAGCCACGAAACAGAAAAAATGTGAACCACTTAACTAAGAAAAAGTGACTGCATAAATCAACAACAAAAGAGAATTATTTTAGAATTCACTTTCGCTAAATGATTGGAGGAGATGGGAAAGTTGAAAACTTAGTTAAGAAGCTGTTACTTACCAAATGAGTTTTAAGAAGAATATTTCTCAAATTTTCCTTAGTTACTTCATCCTCCAAGTGCTGATCCTTTTGCTCAAATGTAACCGCCGAATGCAATATTTCTTCATTTATATTCGACATAATTTTGTCGCCTTGTGTAGGAATGCTTACTGGTTTCGATGGTAGTTCTTCGGATTCAAGTGATTTACCATCATTGCTGTTCTTGACATTATTAAATTCCTCGACACTATTAAGTGGACCAGAATCAGTGTTTGATGATACCGAGACATTGGGACGAGAACGACATTTCGGACAATAGTGTTTTCTATTGCGACAACTATAAGAAGATCTTCTTGATACTTGAGTTTTATCACTTTTTGGAATTCCTTGTATAGGATCGAGATTTACATCAGATCTAGCATTTGAATTTTGCCAATTAGGCAATTCGTTTCCACACGTGGGTGGTGATGGAGCTTCTACTTCATCCGGACAAGAGGAAGAGTCCACATCACTTCCCAAATCGCTATTGATACGATCAAAATATTCAGTTTCTGAGGCTGTTTGACCCTAAAACAGTTATTACAAGAGAACCAAGGTAATCTAACATAGAGGACTGTGAAATACAATTCCAAATATAAAAGGCCTGAGGAAAAATTTGGAATATTATTTCTAATGAAGTACAAGAAAACAATCTGTAGCATGTGTTTCGCAACCGATAAGAAGATGAATCCTCAGCTTCATGAATAATCATGTCAACTTGAATATTAGGGTTGAAGTATCATAACTCGAATATGTCATCAAACTGCAAATAACGCGAATCAATCTCAGTGATGGCATAATTCGAATGTTGTCACATTTCCAAATCCAACAGTGAGAGTGCTGACTTCAAATAATTGAGATACGGGTAATCTCCATTAGTATACAGTTCTCGTTAATATATGCTGAAAATCCGAGTCTGGAGATTTCAGTCAACTAGGGAAGTATATTGTTCTCTCCAATCAGAAAGTCTAAATTATTATTATTATTATTCAACTCTCAAGTATTAATATACCTGATAAACCGTGAATCGTTTGGATGCATAAGAAGTTTAGGTGTAGAAAAGTAAGCTTCTCTTTCTCTTTACAATCTCAAAAGAGTAATTAGCAAACTCAGGGGGGTGGGTGCGTGGGTGGTTGGAGGAATACACAAAGAAATGGCATTTTCAAATAGTGCCTTTCATATAATCAACTTTAACCGTCACACATTAGGTGACTGCTGACTGCCTACTACATGACTGTTCATGTGATTGTCGACTGACTTACTGACTGACTGACTAGATTGACTGAATGATGAAAATACTGAAATATAAACAAATAAAATAAGCGCTAGTTTGTAATTCCTGTTTCAATAAATGCATAAACAATCAAAAATTTTATTCATTTTTCACACACAGTTAAGAAACAACGGAATTTTCTGTCTTATACGCATGTTTTTCACACACACACACACACAAGTTAATAAACAATAATTTATTTTTAGTCTTGAATGTTTCCCCTCCTGTGTCAGTAAAATATCTAGTCACATGAACAACACGATCCTAACTCTCGAAGTCTTAATTGTGAATAAATTACGTGGAAAATGACAAAAAAATATAATAATTTTTATTCTGTCAGAGTTATAATATCATACTCCGCATTATCTCGGTAAAATGTCAACATACATAAGACGCGTAAATAAGCGTAAAATTAAAAAAAAAAAACAGAGGCATGATACAATCATATACTGTTTGTAAACAAAGTCAACAATTTTCGGTACAATAGTAAACCAGACAGATTGCAATGCAGCCTTACACATCTGACAACAAGCTTAACAAAATATAGTTTCCCAGGAGAAAACTTTTTTCAATAATTCAACAAATATCTGAGCTTCAATGAAGTCAGAATACGATTATATCCTCCTACTGATTCCTAGTATGCCCAAGATAAATAGCCATAGAAGTGGTATTGCCTAATACAGTATCAGCAACAACGCTATCTAATGCTTTCACCTTTGGCATTTTGCACATCAAATCAATTTTAAAAAGGCGATGAAGTCAAGATCAAATGATGACTACAAGAGCGGACAAAATGTTTCGCTGACTGATTCATTACTTCACGTTTTTTTGTGTGTGAAAAACTTCACCCAATTCATATAAATACCATGTGTCGCTAAAAGTAGTGAATATATATGTTAATTGACACAATTCACATAAGCATAAGTACCCAAAGCTGAGATGAAGTGAAGTTGTACGTTGTATAACATCGTGATACAACCGTTTTACTTTTCTCCATTTAACTCCATTACTGACAACTGCATATCACTTTCCATTTCATAGTAATCAATGTACGATAAAAGAAAAGTCCTTCCTTAATCACTGGCGAACTAGTGACAATAATGATAATCTACAAGAGAAAACCGAAAAATTTGTAGAGGAGGAGCAGCTAAGATAAGACTTCAGGCAAATATAGAGAGGACAGAGGTGATGAAGATAACCAACCAACCAACAACAGGCACCAGTCAATATCAGTGGGAGAAATTTGAAAGAGGTCACTACTTCCACGTATTTAGGCAGCATCGTTTCAACTCCAAGAGGCGCGGATGAGGATGTCAAAACTAGGATAGGAGAGGTAATACAGACCTTTGTCGTTCTAAAATCAGTTTGGAAATATTCAGCAGTCAGCAAAAAGAACAAAATTCGGATTTCCAACACCAATGCTAAGTCAGTCACTTCTTCCATATGGGTCTTAAACTTGTTGAACGCGTCACGAAAAGCATTTCTAATAGCCTGATGCAGACTTTTATCAACACCTGAGCCTTCATTCCATACTGAAGATCAGATGGCCAGAAATGATTCGCAACAAGGGAGTCTGGGAACCAACCAAGACGCATGCAAAAGAAAATGGAGATGGATTGGACAAACGCTGAGCAGACAACTGAGTGATACCGCGCGCCAGACAAGCCTTCGAGTGAAAATCGAGTGGGAAACGACGAGTTCGGTGAGGGTCAATGAGTGACATGGAGGAGATCGTATGAGGAAGAAATGAGATCTTGTGGGCAATCGTGGGTCCAAGTAAAGAGGACTGCAGATGATAGGATGAAATGAAGATGTTCTGCTGAAGCTCTGTATTTCACCCAGAACCCAAGGGGATAATAAATAATGCACATCACTAAGACGAATAGACAGAAATCGTAAAGATTTTCAAAAATTTCTTCAAATTTTAACTTGAAAGCAAGAAATATTCAAAGAAAAACAAAAAAGAAACTGAAAACGAATAACCTTACTCGTGTGTTCATATTGGTATCGTGTTGTTCACCTTTTGTAAAATAATGTGAATGAGAATATGTGTCATGAACGAAACCAGTAATCGGATCCATGAACCGATTCATATTTCGTCTAGATTCATGAACTGTTGAACTTTGTGAACTAAAATTTTATAAAAAAGAAAATTGAGAAAGATATAACAGAGACAATTAAATGTATGATCGAGTTTGAAAAAATCAAATATTTTAGTAAATCAGGTAAAAAGTGCAGATTTACATCTGCAAATAAAAAACAACAACTGATCATGGTAATTTCAGCATGATTTCAGTCATGGCTGTTAAAAAAACTAATTGGAAGAAGAATTTAAACATACTTACAGCCTTTAAAACGAAGCATAACTGTGCTATCTGCGAGAGGTGTGAGAAGTAGTCATATATCCGATAAAACTACCGGTGATCGGCAGCACATGACATTGAGGATTTCGAACTCAAAAGATGCTAGTTTTTGGAAAAATGTTAAGTAATAGTTTTTGTCTCCAACCAAATGTTAAGTAAAACAAGAGCTATCAGTGAAACACATACTGTTACGTTATTCAAAAAATAAAACTTGATTACAGGATTTCATCATGAGCTGACATCGGTTAGAGAACCATTGGAAAACCAACTGAGAGTACTGGACGGCTGTTTCCACTGTCCTAGTTTGGGACTCTTAGGCAGTACGCACCCACCAGAGTTCGAACCCAGGACCTTCTGGTTACAAGGCCAGCTCGTAGACCATTAAACCACTGGGACCCGATCCAATGGCCCACGACATAGAGCGACCGCTAGCCAATGTCATCGGTGGCGACCTGCTGCACCCTACTGGTCACGGCGTCGCACTAGAACCCAGGTAACTACCTACCTAAATAGGGCCAGTCGCTAGTGAGCTATTCGAGTATTGGTTTGTAGGGATGTGATTGATTGTGGGCGGTTGCGTACTACTAAAGAGTCCCAAATCAGGACGAAACAGTCATGCGCTACTTCCAGGTTTTTCAACCAATGTCAGCTCATGATGAAATCCTGTAACCAATCAATCAAATCTCTACAAACCAATACTTGAATCAAACTTCATTTCAAATAGAATTTAGACACAATTTAAAATAATGCCTTACAGTGAAAAGGTCAGAGAAATGCTCTAGCATTTGATATCTTTTTTAGAAATATCTTAAAACCCAACGAAGTACTGTGCCACTAGGCTAAGTGTTGTTCACCTCAACAACAACAACTTAGAAACTGGGAATGTATATTAATATCCAAGTAACAGATTAAGTTATCGCCTGAATTTTTATGATTAAAATTGCAAGTTATATCCTTATTGCACCAACTAATCACACAATAATTTTCAGGGAATTCGACAAATGGGACGATGTCAGACTCCATGAAATCCCAGTAGTTGAACCACAGATGCCACAAAGACGTAGTACACTACCTCCTCCCTTGTGCATAAAATATACTCGATCATGCTTTACGCTTATATCATGTTAATAACAGTTTTGCAAATATGAAATTATCATTCTAAAAGTTTTAGCATCATTCATAAAATTGGTAACATATCTCAGGGCAATATCATATTTTGAAATTAATAAAAAAATATACCCAGGAATTTCTTCAACAACAAAAGTAAAACTCCCAAATTTGAATAAACTTCGAAGGTATATTGGTTGATTAAACATACAATGACTCTCATTTAAAGTAACAAAAACCTCTCAGTGAATTCATCTCAGCTATCCGAATTTTAAAATTTATGTGTACAAGTTTATTGCAGTAAAAAGTAACACCTAGCAGAGCAATTATCCAGAGTATCTTTCGAATAAAAGTCAGTTGGTCGTTTGAGTTGTGCGACCAATGAAAGTTGACTCCAAATGTGAAGAATACGAAATTCTTCCTTCTTACAATTTTTTTACATGATGCCTTTCTTCATTATCCCATACTCTCTGTTGCTTTGAAAATGTTAGTCATCTATCTGTTGTGAAGAAATTGTTTGTAGGTTGAAGTTAAACTTTATTATTGAAAGAGTTACTTTGTCCATTGTATAGTTCACGTGGATTTTGGAAGTTATATCAACTTTACTTATAAATGATACCAAATTTCAAGTGAAAACTACAGGATTGGAGTACACCGACTCCTAGATTAGAAATAGGAAGCGAAGTGGTAGAGCATGTTGATTGCTTCACTTACTTGGGAAGTACCATCAGTCCCAACGGGTTGATCTCAGACGAAATCTCAGCTCGAATACAGAGGGCTAGTTTCGCATATTCCCGCCAGTTTACGCCGTCTCTGGTGTAGACGTGATATCCAGTTGGCTATCAACCAAAGGGCGTGTGTACTGCTCATTAGTTCGCTCCGTCCTCCTTTATGGCTAGCTGTGAGACCTGGCCATTGAGAGTGGAGGACATGAAAAGATTAGCTGTCTTCGATCATAGGTGTCTGTGTTCTATCTCCCGTGTGAAGTGGCATAATAAGGTGAGCAATATTGAGGTTAGGTGTCTAGTGCTAGGTAGGTGGGCGGGGAAATCAATCGACGAGGCTGTGAAATTACATCGACTGAGATGGTTGGGACATGTGTTACGTATGCCTAGTCATCGCCTTCCTCGACCTATGGGCAATGTCAGCTAACATAGGGTGAGGTTGGAAAAGAGCCAGTGGTGATCAAACCAAAACATGACTTCATCAGTCAATGGAATCCACAACAGTCAGTCTAAGCCACGTAGGAAGGTGTAGAGTTCCTGGTTGTGGTCCTCGAGACGGTAAAAACCAATGGTTGGAAACAATTGGTGACATGGCTTGTCAATGGACGTGAACATTGAACGTTTGTTTATTGGAACTGGCAGCCATTGGTGGGCAACTCGAAGGCGCGAATGGTTCGATCGCTTGCAAGTTGAATGAAGACTGGAGCAAATACGAATAAAAGTACTTTATAACTTCATTTGTACTTAACATTTGTTTGTAGACTTTGTAGTTGTCTTCACTTTAATTGCCAAACAATATAATTTCGTTCAAGGAATACTGGTGTTTTGGATTTAAAGTTGAAAGAAATACACAGTCTTTATCGGTCGCAAACGTCTTCATTACAATAGGAACTTAGGGCTAAGTTCCTTGACATGGTTCAAAATCGTTCTCAATGGCTAGCGCAGATGCATCCATTCCTTGTGACTTACGATTTCCAATTAAACTTTTGTTCTTCGTTATTACTATCCCTTTGACTCACACCTCCATTTACTGTCTATACTATGCATTTCTCCTACTTTCCTCTCTTCCTTTGTGTGCTACATGGAGTGTGGCGACTTGAACTACCGCACATATGTGCAAAGTTTCATGTCGAAAACAGACAGAAAACTACCATTCCGTCTAGGATCCTGTAATAGTATTCGCAAATCTCAGGAGAGTTGATGTCTCAATACTACTTATTCTAACAGGAATACTTCTAAATACTGATACAGGTAAACGCAAATATAATGACATTTAAGGGGCTTTTTTTTAATATTGAAGTGAAGAATATATTAAGCATACTTTATGAATGTCATTTTTCAACACACAGAAAAAGTGATATCTAAAGTGGATTTACCCTTAGTTTACCAAAATAATCCCTGAAATCGTTGAAAAACAAGCAAACAAACAAAAAAACCATGTGATAACAATGTTTTGAGTGAGCTAGTTTTGTTTACTCACATGAAGTGAATTCTAGTTATACACATGAAAAATAGAGAATAATGTGACTAACGAACGTAACATAAATATAAAGCTAATCTATTGTATGCTAGTGTAGTGATAATATGTGAAGACGTTTACATTTAAACTGTCACAACAAAAAATTTTGATACATATATATTTATTCCCAGGATATAATGTTTGCAAAAACAAATGGGGATTTCATGACATGACATAACTACATAAAATTACACACGGATAAAGCTTATTATTTATGCACATGAAGGATACATACATTCCTTAATACTGTTTTCAATTTGTATGAAACATTTTGAAAACAAAACTAACAATTATTTAGGCCCTAGTTTTTACTGCATACTTTAAAAAAAAGTACTAATCGTCATAGTTAAGCACGCACTTTCAGATTATGAATTAAAGGTTGGTGTGAATGATGAATATTCTTTTCAATAGATTCCTCTGAGGGTTTCATACGGCGGATTTTATTTCATTCTCAATACATAAACCTCATATCGGTCAGTTTTCATATTGATTACTTCATGATGAACTAACTACTCACAACAGTCTTACGATCTTCATGTCACTGGCCAAACAGGTTTTACAACCTTGAGGCAAACCGTCAATTTTCTATCTCCCCCCCTAACGAGATCAAACTTGCAATCTTCGAATTAACTCCTAACTTGTAATTTACCCAGTTCCAGGTGAAATTTCATCAGAATTTCCTTTGGAAATCAAAATTATTCAGATACCACAAATAGCAATCAAGAAATCAAGCATAAATTTATGGTGCTATATACTACTGATTAGCTGATAGGAGTTTATATTTTTTAAAGATTTCTTTGCGTTCTCAGTGGAACATAGGGCTTCAATCTAAAGCTTTGAAGTCTCAGTAGCAGAGGTGTTTATTTTTAAGGGATGGGGTTGCTAGCCAGCTTCATGCCCACCCTTCCCTCTTTACCAGTCTTATTAATTACTGGCTCAGCGAGGTAAAGGAGTGAGTCAGTGGCCGGGGATCGAACCCCGAACCACGTGAGGCGTGGCTGGCGAGCATTCTACCACTGTACCACCGACGCACTGAGTAGTTGGATACTACTCACATCAACTAGGAAGGATCCCTAACCAGATCGAAATGACCCTTCCCCAACATGCATGAATTCATTACGACTAATCATTTTCATCGTCTCAAATTCCACCGTATTTTGTAATTGCATTTAGCCCACCATATTTAACATACAAATTCACCCTATAACTAATATGTTATTCTACATGAAATTGTATTCACCGCTATTATTCCACTGATAGTTGCAAGAAGCTGAAGAGAACTTGTCGAGAAGAATATTATTCGTTCGGGCCAATTTCCACTTCATGTTTGAAGAAAACAAGAAGAGTACATTCAACAGTACAATTGACATCAGGTACAATTTAATATTAATATACAAAATACTCAAATACTGAATT